CTGCTCAGTACCAGCCCAGGAAATTGCTTTCTGCTCCTCAGCATTTGACTGCCAACTTCCTTCTCCTCATGCTTCCATAAATCGCTGGGAAACTGTGCCGTGGATGATCCAACAGCTGCTGAATTTCACCCAGGAGACCACTTACCACTGAGGTGCAGCAAAGTTATTTTGCATATCAAGATTTTAAAGAAATTTGGGCCATTGTGAGATGAAGAACATTATTGATGTACCATATTTACTCCAGAATCCCTTATCCACACCTGGAAACAGTACTTAAAAACAGAGCTTATACTGCAGGATGATGTGAAAACCTGGCCTGGTGAGAGGTAAAATTTTCTTGATTATTTCAGGGAGATGAAGGCTTCATCCTGCACTATTTAGGAGCTGTTGAGGCATGATGGCTACGTCCAGCTAATTGGATGCATTGCTATGGGCACTTGAGAAATGTGATAGACAGATGCATTCAGCTAGAGAGATATCCCTTGGTGCAGAGAGCTGAAGTCAATTAGGGAGTTAAATTGTGAAAGATTTGACCTGATGTCATTTATATCTCGAGTCATAATTAACACTTAAAGTTCAACTCTATAGCAATCTTCTCCTAATAACACTTAAAACCTATATAGAGCTGAAAGAATTGCGCAGACATGATGAAGGATGACTTGAGTGCATGCCTGAATTTCTGCGTTGGTAATTAATCCTCAAAACACCTTTGTGAGGCCTATGGGGAGAATCATTTCTCTCCAGTTTCTCCTTTGAAGAGAAGCAGGGTTTACCCAAATGGCTCCCCAAAGTCTCTGGCACCTGGAGATAAGGACAGAAGCTCTTTCAGGTGTTAAACCAGAGAACACTCAGCTCAGCCCAGCTCCCCTCTTTTTGTCTTGCTGAATTTTTTAATTTTACCACAATCTTTAGAAATATCGTGGACAAATTACTTGTCAAATGGCCTGGGCTTTCCAATTAAAATTTGTGCAAATGCAGGACCTAAAAATCTGTCACAAACACAGCTTCTGCCTCAAAGGTTTTCATATGGATGAAATATGAATCTCACTGGGGGAAGAAACACTCTCTGAGAGTGAGACCTTGTAAGATGGGATTCAGCTGGCTGCAGATTTTTATGGTCAAGTTATAACTGCCCGTAAAGCAGGGGCAAAATGGAAGTGCTGACAAAACTTTTAAACTACAACAGTGGAAATGGCGCCGCAATAATTTATAATCTACAGGCAGCTTTGGATTTATTATCACAATGACAAATGCACTGTCATTGTTAATAGGATATTTCCCAGCAAGGACTTCTTGTTATGCAAGCCAGGTTCACTATGTCATGCAGCATGATAGCAATAAAGTCTACAAGAATTTGTAATGAACTTCAATTACTAATAGATTATGGTTAATGGGAAATATGTGCAGTAAAGATATGGGTTTTTATATGCGCCTTCTGGTACTCTACAAGGCAATGATTTATGCTACAATTTCTGTTAACATTCTCCAGTATGAAAAAAAAAAGAAAAAGCCTAAATTGGTGGAAAGCCACTCCATCCATAACAAATATTTAAGATAATTTTGCACATCATGTAAATGAAGATGTAAAATTAGATATTAATCCGTTTCATTTTAGCATTTGTATTTTTATTAAAAATTAAGACTTTGCCCTACTGTGTAATGACATTAAAAACCCTATCATGGGCTGCAAGCATGAATTACCCCAGTGCAGGAATGGTGACAGCAGCCGAGCTGTGAGTGCATTTGTTCAATTTGCTGTAGTAATTAACGGAGCAGTGAGAATATTTTTGTGTGCATGATTTAAAGTAGCAGCCCTGAAGCTGCTTGGGCAGATGTGTTTGAGGGATGTGTGTGTGAAGCCTGGGCTCTCTGGAGGGGGTCAGCCTTCTCCTGCCCTGCTGTGGTTCCCCCCCAGCCTTTGAGGCTCCAAAGCTGTGCCTCTCTCGTGGACATTGGGCTATTCCCTTCCCTGCACAGCAAACCTCCCCCGGGAATTCCTTCGGGAAATAATCACCAGACACAGCACCAGAGCCACAAGCTCACACTGACTTATCAGAGGGACACAGGCCCAGGTGTTTGCCTGTTGTTTCAAAAGACTCCCTCCTCTTCCTCCACCTCCCTCCCTTCTTCCAGCTTTTTTCTCCTGCATCTGAATTACAATCTGTACATTCCAGGTTTATGTGCTCATGAAATGAAAAGAAAAAGTCTCCCAAATTTAAAAACAAGCAATGCTCAGAGCCATCTTCGAGAAAAACACAGAGATGCAATATTAAGGATTGCATTTAAGGGTCACATTCCATATCAAAAACATATATTTAGCCAGAAAGGGGCACCCATACATGAAGAGCTTTCAGGATCATTTCTGGTACAATTTTAATAAATGTATCCTGAAGGCAAACATGATCCAATCAGTATTGTGCTGGTTTAATACCATTGCTCTCAGTGAACCTCCGTAGAAAGCCTGCAAATTAATATTTTAGGTGTGCAAGCCAGGAAAATATGGAATTGGGGTTTGATCTTTTTACAAAATATTTTAGGTGTGCAAGCCAGGAAAATATGGAATTGGGGTTTGATCTTTTTACAAAGATCTTTTTACAAGGTTTTTAGTGGGAGTATAAAGGGAATAGCTGCAGACTGACAGAATTTCTCTTAGATTAGAGATTAAGAGAAAATTCCTAAGGGTGGTGAGGTCCTGGCACAGACTGCTGTGCAAATCCCAGTCCATGGACAAACTGCACTTCCCAACCCTGCTGTGGAATAGCAGTGTCTCACTGTACAATTAAGGGTGATTCTGGCATGGAAATGTGCTTCTCCACTCTATTAGGAAGTTGTTTGAGAGATTTACAAAATGTCTTTCAGCTTTTATGGTAAAATGAGCATAAAATCGTGCTTCCCCACATTCATCTCCTTCTAAATAATACTTAAAGTACTTGCTTCTTGAAAGTGTGTGTGTTACAAATTTAAAATTAAAACTAATTTATCCCTTAAGGGTGCTCTGCTGATTCAGTTTTCCCCCAGCCCCTTAACACAAGCTGTTGCAAGATACAGAATGGAGTTTACTGTATTTCCTCCCCCCAGTTTTTAATTAAATTCTCCTTAGAAGTAAAACAGGGGAAGAAGCTCCCCGTGCATTCATACTGAATATTTGTGTGTGTGTGTGGTGGTCAAATCCTCCTCTGTTCTCTCCTGATCACCTCTGCTGCTTCTCATCTTTCCAGCTCTCTCCCACATTTTCAGAACAAGCCTCCTCCAAAGCTGCTAAAACTCCTTTTTCTCATTTCGTTGGGTTTGTTTTTAAGTCTGATAAACAATATAACAGTAGGATATGCAATAAACAATATAACAGTAGGATATGCAACGGCATGTTATTGCTGGGTTTTGTTGCTGGATTAGGGTTTTTTTGGTTTGTTCTGGCATTTCTGTGGCTCCCTAAGGTATCTCACCCCTGACAGGGTTGATGTGGCAATATTCAGCAGTCACCTGCTTTGCAAGCTCCATTTAGAAAAGGTCACTGACAGCCCAAAAGAGCCACCAAAATAAATGTAACTTTAATTTGTTTCCCATTAGAAATTCATGCAGCAATCTGTTGTAATGAGAGATTTTCTTTCTTTCCTGCTCTGGCACTTGACCACCACAGCTCACAGATACACTGAGGTCTTCTAACAAAGGAGCCTGTGCACAGAACAGGGTAAAGTGGTAATAGATTTTGCTCTGTCCAACAGAGGATTATCATGGAAACATTCTAAATTTCACCAGAATTAACATCTGAGCACCAGGAAAAGCTTGTGCTTCAAATACTTGCCCTAAAATAAATATAAACAGCCATTACACCCAGTATGATCTCTTGAAATCACTTCAAATCACTGATAATCTATATTGTATCAGAAATGTGTGTGCAAAAATAAAACATAATTCCTTGCAGCTAAAGTATTACCTAAAGTAAACCATTTCAACACTGAATCAAATTATTTCAATGGCAGAAATCACACCTGTCTCAGGGGATAAATCGAGTATTCAGGCTGTTAAATCCATTCAAGCGACTCTATTGAATCCCACTATGTATTGTGCCTTGTAGAGAGAAAACAGTTCTGAAAACTATAAAATCATTTAGCAAATCAAATGCATCAACCACAACAGCCTCACATGGAGAAGAGGCTGAGGAGGTGAAACCCCTTCTTGCTGAATATCCTGTACAGTAAACAAATTCACCTGACACAATGCCATTGAAAATGGAAAAAAAAAAGAAAAATTGCTACTGGAACCAGTCATTGGTATCAGAGTTTATTTTTACATTTTCCTTATTACAAAACTCACAGGCCAGGGGAAGGCTGGGACTAGAATGATTTTTTTGGTTAATTAAAAATACAAAAAAAAAAAGATCTGTGTGACTGCAGCAGCTGATTATTAACAAAGACTTTGCATCAGGGCTCACCACTGAAGTCCACCTCTCCAGGACAGTTGTTGTAATCCCTGTGTATATAATTGTTACAATCCCTGTGCCTCAACCATCTTCCCTTGCTTCCCTCTTGTAGTGCCTCTATGGACCTGGCACACAACTGGCTCTGCAGACACATCACAAAGTAAAAATACAGAAAGAGGAAGCAGTGCCATTAAACAGAGGTGCTCCAGAGGCAGGAGCACTGAGCATGCAGGTGTGAGGTCACTTTTGCCCTAGCTGCAGGTATGAGATCTTGAAGCCACAAGCTCAAGAAATCCCATCAAAGATCCACCCAATGTTGGTCACTCTGAACCTGGGCTCCTGCCAGCTGCACCAAGAAATTGCAATTTGCTTTTTTAGTCTGCAAAGGGCTTTTCAATGAAGATGGTGGAACCACATGTAGTTCTGGATTATTCCTTAGGAAATGGTTAGGTTTCTGCAGTGCCTGAGTGGATGGGCTGAGTTATAGCTCACATATATCATACACAACATCTGTATGATAAAGCACCATTTACTGCCTGGTGAGTTACACATTCATAGGTTAGTGTAGAGGTAATGCCTTGGATCAAGGAGAAGAGGTTAACTCATGGCTCAATCACTATTGCACCCAGGTTGTTCCTGAAAATCACCTTCCCATCTTTGATTTCACTGCACCCAGGCTTTCTTAACTCTTCCATTACCTGATGCTTTAGTTCAGGAGGGGCAGTTTTAGCAAAATCAAGTGTTTCTGTCAGGAAATCCAGCAAGAGTTCCCCATCTTTGTCCCCTTCAATAAAGCAGCTCGTTATGTCCATGTGGGATGGGAGCTCGTAGAGCTGGTACTTCAGCCCAGCTGAATCCAGCATCCTTGGCAAATCAGCAGAGGAAACAAAAGTGCAAAGATCTAAAGGAAAAAAAGACCCATACTTCTTCCACAGCGTTTCCCAGCCGCTCTTCCCTGAGAGATAAACAACCAGAAAAACACTTAGAGTTAAGGAAAAACACTCTTTGAAACCAGCTTTGATTGTCTGGATTTTTTAGCAGTTGCCATCGTTGCAAGTGGGATCTTTCCAGAGCTGGGAAATGTCCTGGGGCATGGTGGAGTTGGCTGCCTCCCTACTTCTGTTCCTCAGGTTTGGGGGCTTCAGGAGTGGGTGGGAAAATACCCTGGAGCCCCAGCACCTCTCCTTGAGCCTCCAACTGAGGCCAGAGCAACTCACACTTGTGTAGCTCTCTCAAGAGACATTTTATAAAGCAAACCAGATGGGTAAATTGAAAAGTCCCCACATACATCTTCACATCTTTATTTACCCCCAGCCCGGATCTCTGATTTGGTATTTCTACTGTGAACAATTTTTAGAAGGATTACTCAGAATGACTGGACAGGATGAAAATAACTTTGAGCAGCTCTTGAAAGTTACAACAATAATTCTCCCTAGGTACTAAACCAGTTACTCGTGGTTTTACAGTTGCTTTATCTGCAAACAGTTATTTATAGTCAAATAAACAATTTGGTGTTTAGAAGAGAGACTACAATATTTTCTTTCACCTAGTGGAAATTGAATGCAGAGCACTAATTGCAGGAAATGTGCTGGTGTCAGTGTTGTGTGACTCAGTGCCATCTCTGAGCCGAGCAATTATCCCCCACCTGAACGCAGCATTATTCTAATGGCTCTCGGAAGGCTCAGCATATGGCACTGCTTTTGTTTGCAAGGCGGTGTCAACAGATCCACAGCCCCTGCACCTCCTGCTCTCCCTGCAGCCCCCACAGACTGACCCCAGCCCTCTGCTACCAACCCTGCTCCCAGGCTGCCTTTTAACTAACACACCCTGATGTGTTTGCCTTGCAGATGACATTACCTTTTGTGAGATGAGCTTTGTTCTGATGATCTTACAGTAACTCCTTCAGTGCTCATTCTCATGGCACTTCCTTCCCCTCTCTATTCTCTTGCTTTCCTCAAGGTTTTCCCCTCCCTTTCCTCTCTGCTGTTCTGAGTCCTGCTCCTCACTCTCCTGCTTTTTTTGTTGCCCCCAGCAATTTCTGCTCCATCAGAAAACAGTCATCTGGCTCAGAGAGGACTTCAAATGCTCTTCATGAACTCAGAACTTTAATCATTTTAATTTTGAATAGGCACACATTCTTTCCTATATTCACATTTTATGAATATCCAAAAGGACAGGTTAAACTGGAAAAGAGTTTTAATTAACTATATGCAGGTAATCAGCATTAGTCTTATATTACAATCTATTCTAGTTCAGCCAAAGAATATGAATAGTTTTTAAAAATCATTTTAAATACAGATTTCTTGTAGTAAACTGCTTGAAAACACTTCAAACCAAAAGCATTTGGGAAAAAAAAAGTAGTTTAATGAATTCAGGTCAGAAGTGTCACTTCATAGTGGATCCTTTGTGAACAAAATAAAAGGAACTTCATCACATTTGCAGACGTGGCCGAATTCAGTGAGAAATTAAGCTTAAACCTCTGAACAAATAATGCTTAACATACCTTTCAGAGTTGTTAGATGTGGCTGTTTACACAGCTGAAATTTTCATAGCTTTTGAGGCAAATTAAAGGCTTTCTAGAGTCAAATTAGACTCCACCATTGCACTGTCTCTGGCATACCTTGCCCACAGTATTAAAAGGTTGTCGTTTACTCCAACATTTTCCTGCTGGATTGACCACTGAGCATCTCTATGAGATCTGAAACAGCCTAAGAACTCTGTTTTGTACCCAAAATGATGGTATTAAGGAAATGGGCAGTTTGAAAAGAAAATGAACCATATGTGCTCCAACACCTGCTGTATGGCACTTCTGAGCCCCGCCGTAGCCGTTTGCTTAATGCCACAAGACTCTGGGAGAGAAAATGCAGTGCCCAGCCTGGAAAGCCTTTTCCAGCAAACAGCAGAGGCTGAAGGGCTCCTGTGAGTGAGAGCTGTGGGATGGAGCCTCTCCTGCTGCGGGGCCTCTGCTGCCATCCATCACCGGACAGGCTGCAGGATGGGCAAGGGCAGAGAAAGATGTTTTGTGCTCATGATGTGGGGGTTTTGGCTCATTAATCCTTGGTCTTTACAAGCCACGCAGACACAGACAGTGTGAAGGTTTTGGGGGATGTCTGTTCACCTCCATGGCTTGTGCTACACACAGGAACCCCAAAGGGCCTGAGAGCCCTTTCCTGACCGAGCAGCGCTGGTGGAGCAGCTCTCACCTGACACCAGGATAATGAGGAGCTTCCCCTGTGATTCCAGGAGGCTGTGGAAATACCGGATAGTTGCTGGGATATCTTGCACATAATAGAGCATCTGGAAAAAAAGCAGAGATGCTTAGAGACACACAGTGCCACCTTGGTGACTATTATAACTGGAACCACTGTCAAAAGGAACCAAATGGGAACAATCCTGACAGAAAAGCAGGGACACTGAGGCACATTAGGAAGGTGTGAGCAGTGGGCTCACACTGCAGGCTCAGGGCTCTCATGCCGTGCCTGCACTGCCAGGGCCGAGCTCATGTTCATTCAACAACCTGAGATAAAGAGATTTGCCTTTCTTCAGTGGAAGCTCCAGTGAACTTGGACATACAAAGACAATTTCATGGAGAGGACAAGGAGCTTTTGAAGACACCAGCTAAAATGTATTCTTAGTTGACTGCCACCCACAGCCTGGTTAATAGGACTACTGTGCTCAAAGCTGCTTTTCATTTTTGCAGTTCATTTATGCTAAAGCACTTCAAATTACTGGGAAGTAAACTCACCTTTCTTCCCCTATGAGTGGATAATGAGGTCACATGCTTCATGCATACTTTTAACAGCTGAGTGTTTGACAACATTTACTTTGCAGAGACTCTTACCTGGATCATGTGAATGAAGTCCCATTTTTTAGTCTTCTTTTCTGCATTCATTCGACTTTCATATTCATAAGCTGTCTCATTGTGCCAGGTAAACTTTGTGTTCTCGAGGTTTGATGCCTGAGCCACACGCTCTGAAATAGAGGAGAAGGCAGGACAGAGTTATCTCAATTGCAAATATGGGGCTGATTTCCACTCAGAGCTTTAATACATCCAAAACCCATATTTAGACAGAGAGTTTTGGTACCAGCTTAACGCAACAGTGGAATATCTAAAACCTTGAGCCCATATGTGAAGAGAAGGCATTAGAGGGCTTTATAGGACAAAATCTTAAGAGAATCTAATGCTTTTCCCTTTGCTCCTTCATTTGGGCTCCTCCAGTGTTTACCTGAGCTAAAAAAGAAAAAGGCAATTTCTTCCCCATGCCTGGCTCAAGCTGAATTAAAAGATGTTGACTGGGACCAATTGTTAGGAGGCCTCCAGCAGCACATTTCACATTTCACAGTGAATAGAAGGACTGATGGCCCCAGCAATTATGTGCCACACAAAACCCACATGGATAAGCAGGAGTCGTAGTGGGGGCTTTTCCCCAAAATAAAAAATAAATAAAAACAAGTGCTCAAGGATGGATCAAAGCAGGGGGTTATTTGAGAAGCACAATTAAAAGGTTGAGAAGGGCAGATAAAGTGAATGTCCTCTTCTGAATTTGTGTAACTGGGGTGGCAGGAGAGGGAAGGAGCTTTGTTCCAAAAGCAAGGATCGATCTCTTGACATTCAGCTGCTTCTGTGTTGAAACAATTTTTCAGAATCCTACAGTTCTGACCAACTGCTTCAGGCAAAAGGGATGACAGTGTTTTAAAGCAAAGAGCTTTAAGGAGTGACACATGGCATCTTCAGACCTCAGGACAATGCACTTCAGCAACTGAGGAAAACAGAAATTTGGAGAGGTGGATTCAAAGGATAAGTTACACTGAGGGCCTGGCTCATCGCTGCATTCCCTTTGTTTTTATGGGAGCAAAACTGAGAGATAATTTCATAATGTAGGGGATGCTGGAACACTAATGTCCATCTGCTGGCATATGGAGCTCATCTGACTGCGATGCTGCCTGGCGCTCAGGATTGCTCCAGGACAAAGCAGGCCCTGATTCAGTTCCTGTGCTTCACTGGAGTTAGCATCCATTTAAAACTTACATGGCCCAAAGGCAGGCTGAGCCTTAGCTACAGAGCACATGTTCAGAACAACAGGGCTTGCTAAGACCAGTGCCTTTACACCACTAATGACAATGTTTCTCCTCCTGGGCTCTGATTTGGACACATCCCCATCAGGGAGATGAGAAATGCTCCATCAGTGCTTATCTCCTCTCTTCTGGGGCTGGAAAGACACTGCCACTGTTACTCTGTTAGCCTCCATTTATCAGCCACCAGGCCCAGCACTGGCAGTTCAGATTTAATTTGCTCTTCTAAACTCAGAATCAGATGCTGTCCCCTCACCAATAATCTGGGGCAAGCTGATTCAGTTTAATTGTTGGTCTGTCTGCAAGGAGGAACAGGGAAGGAAACTGAATTGCTTTCCAGGCTGGGCCTTTGAAGTCCAAATTCTAGGAAGTGCAAATTCATTATGGGATTATGGTAAATTTCTGCTTTAATATTCATCTCAAGCCATTATGAAAAGTTTTCCTACCTTTTCCCCTGGGTTCACCCCAGATTCTGTTCCCAGTCAGAAGCTGGTTGTGTACCTGATGGGTGCCACGAGAACTGGGCTGCCTGAACTGGTGATGCAGCTCAGTCCTGGGGCCACCAACACTCCAACCATGGCCACCAAGGGATTCCACCAGGAATGAAGGAAAGCCACAGCATGTCCATGAGGCTTTGAGGAAAGCCTCCATCACATGCCAGAGCTTAAGACAAACCTGAGTTTGTCATCACTGCACATCCCAGTAGGGAGTTTCTCTCGTGAGCTCAGCTTCTCCTTCCCACCGAGAAAGCATTTGGTGAGGCAGAAAACATAACTACTGAATCCTCAGAGGCGCAGATAATGTTCCTAATTCTCTACAGAAAATCTTAGGCCTCAGAAACCTAATTAATGGTAGCTACTGGGGACATGATTAATTACCAAATAAGAAAGTTTAAAGAAAAAAATTGAGATGAATATTTAATTTCTAGTTTAGTGTAAAACTTGGAATAAGGACAACATTTTATATTTTCTTTAACTTTCTTCTGGAAAGAAACTCAATGCAGTAGGATAGGACTGCCAGTTAATTGGTGTTAGATGGTAGGACCACTGGGAAGAATCAGAGCAAATCCAGCCCAGTGTGGCCCAGACAGGACAGAAAACCTTTGTTCAAGTGCACAAACTGTCTTATAAACAGAGAAGATGTTGTGTTGCCCACCCTTCACCACTTCAGCAGCAATGTAGAAGCTCCAGGGATTTTGCAGAAGGCATCTTTTAAAAGATCAGGTCTGTGTTAAATTGAGAAAGATACAAAAATATTAGGTTTTTCCTGGGAGCCTTTGGTGCTTCCAGTGATTCTGAGCTACCTCTGCAGGGAGAAAGGGGGTGTTGTTTTTTTTTTTCCCTTGGACTTGCACAAGCCGGTTCACACTGCGAATGCTTCATTTTTAAGGACTTAAGCAAGAGCAGGATTGGAGATTTACAGTGTGGTTTTACAGCCTGGTATTTACTACGGTTTGGAGCGTTTCCAGCAAGAGACTCTGCTGATGAAGTTCATTTCTCGCTGGCACATGGGTTCAGCAGCTCTCCGGCCAGGTGTGCTCAGGGCTGGTGTCACCTCCCTCTGCACCAGGAGCACCTGCGGGGTGAATTCTGATAATCAAACTGTGACTTGCTATTTAATGCTCACTTTGTAGGGCAATTTGATCAAAGTACCCTCGTTAACACTCAATCCTCCTCGGAAAATGCTTCCTTTTCCTTCAGGAACGCTGCTTAGACCTTTGGGCTGGGGGAAGGAGAGAAGCTCTGAGCCGCAGAGCACACGGCAAAAGCCTTTCCTATCTATCACTCCTGCTTTCCTTTCCGTGTTTTCTAATTCAAAGCCTGGGAACTAATTTAGCACCCCACTGTGAGGTTTAGTTACTTGTTGGAAACGATTTTTAAGATGTGGGAGAATTACCATGAGACACTAAAATTTTCCCTTTGATGCTGAGGAAGGATCCTGATTCAACACAAGTTGAAGTAGAAAAAGTTTCTGAAATGCAGAGATTTCACCCTATTCCATAGAACCACCCATCACTTCCCACCTTGTTCAGTTTCTAAAGTCAGTCTAGCCAAGCATTTGCCATGCAGAGTCCTTTGCAGAGAGACAAAGATTTTAATGAGTGAACATTGTTGAGAAGCAATGATGGCAAAAAAAGCATGACATTTTGAATATTTTTACTTTTAAGAGACAGTTCTGACAATAAAGAATTTGAACATAGGGTCATCCACCTTTCAACACTTTCTAACACATGTAAAATAATTAATGTAAATTTAATTTATTTAATGTAAAAATACCTTTGTACTTGGAGATTTGGTCAGCACTTGGCTCTATCACATCATTGTTGATGGTCACCCCAGGATATCTGGCTCGGATTTTTGAGAGGATCTGCAAGTCCATCTCACCTAAAGAAGCAGGAGACACAAAGCAGAGAATGAAAACAAAGCTCAGGCAAGGGAAATCTCCACCACCATCACATCCCCAGCCTGGCAGATTGACTTCTACCATTTCTGTACAGATGCACCACACAGGTCCAAGCAGCTGCTTTGTATTCTCAGTAGGCTGTAACTGAAGACTGAGCTCTAGGATTTGAGAAAAATGTAAATATCAGCCCTAACTCTCTTCATTTCTTTTCTCTGACTGGCACCAAGGCCAAGGGGAAACCAGACACAGTCATGCTTGACCTCTTTTTTCCTGGACATGGTATAACCTCGAGGGGAAATCCTACACAACTCTCATGGTGCCAGTTCTGATGGCTCCAAACTTGGCAGGATTTCTGAGGAGTCAGTAGGAACATTTTTAGCCAGGCACCTCACTGGTAACAAGGTCATGTGGGGAAGGGAATGGGAGTATGTGTTTACACTGGAAGAAGAGACAATATTCATATCTGTTTGTCGTTATGTGTCCTGTGACTTTTCCCAAAAGCATGATGAATACAGCACATACCATTTGTGTTTAGCTAACCCTTGTTTACAGAATACCCCAGAGATGACTGTATTTCAAGTTTTTCTTGGGGAAGAGTTCTCTCTAAACACTGCTCAGGCCAGCTGTAATTATTTTATTGATGGATGTACCAGTAGATCCAAGATTTCAAAATTTAAAAATAGCTCCATCATTCTCAGCCATTTCACCCCATCTGCAATGCAGGAAACTCAGGGGAATGATATTTCTGACTGAGGCATGGGTCCAGGGACAATATCCTGCTGGCTTGCTCAACTTTCTCCAACCTCTGCTTATTGTACTTGGATAGATTTTAGGTGGAAAAAATAACATCAGAATCAATTAAGGTAAGAAAAAGTGAAACAGAAGGTAACTACAGTGAATGATAGATCCAAGGGTCATGTTACAAGTAAATGTTGAGCTTTGTCCTGGAAGATTTACTTGTGCTTGCACAAAACTTCATGTTATAAAATTCCCTACAAATAAACAAATTTTTGTATTGAAGGAAGACCACCCTGATGGCCAGACAGGCCCCTGCTGAGGGGCTGTGGGAGGAGAGAACCTGAACAGCCTCTGCCCACCCTCATCATTTTCAGAGCCCTGGATTCTCACCAGGGGGTGAGAGTTCATTCAGCATTAGCTCCATCGTGCAGAATATTTGAGGAACAAGAAAACACTGGGCACTAAATTACTAAATTAATGCCCAGAGGATGTAACATACAAAGTGAGGAAGAGCTGCATTTTTTTCAGCCTTTTGTGTCTTCCTTAAAGCAACCAGCAGCACCACATTTGCATGGCATCTCTGGAAGCACGTTCTTTGAGGGAAGGAAATTGAATTTCCGAGGTAGCAGAAATAGCTGCAGCTTTGCTATCACTGCAAGCCCTGTGGTCTGTAGTCCACCATGGTAAAATTTGGGAACACAGAGTTTGTAATGAACTACTCCAATAGTTTGATTTTTGGTTGCTTTACCAACTATCCATAAAATTATTTAGTTCTTTGAAAAGGCTGTGCAGGTCCTGATTAAAAAAAAAAATAAATAGAATTTTGTATTTCCATACACAGATAGGTTAATATATTCCCTTCTACTCTTGTGTGGCCAAATCACCCTTGTACTGTTTTTAACCAAAAAAAAACACCTCTTTGATTCATAATTTAATCTACAGCCTTAACTGACTTCACTGAGCTCTTTTATATGCAAACAAGTGTCCCGAGGCATTTTACAGTCAGATCGGTGGCAGCTTGCATTATCAACAATTTGGCAATTAGGCTATCCGAATTATTTAAACTCTCCAACACAATTACCTTTTAAAGGCTACCACTATGTTCACCATTAAGTTTCTAATTAAACATTTTACGTAACGGGATAGTTTATAGCCCAGTTGCTACTTTATAGCAGCACTGATGACTTTTATGGTTTTTAAAGGTACAGAATGAGGCACGCTGGAGTGAGAACTCAATAAGGCAGCGGCTGCAGCAGAGGCAGCGGTGTTGGGGTGGGTGTAATGGGATAGGATGCTGCAGTTAATGGGTTCTTGTCTCCCGAGCTGGAAAAGCAGAGAGGAAATGCTTTCCTTCTGTGCCTCCTCCCACACCAGCCAGGATCAGCTGGAGGGATCTGGGAATCCCTCCGTCCTGACCTCATAAGGACCCGTGGTTAGAAAAAAACAGTGAGCAGATGGAGTGGGTGATTTGGGGATATTGTACATCACAAAGTGAGCTTTGCCTACCCATTATTGATTGGTGGCAAAATGGACTGTCTCTGGCCAGGGACTGAAGTACCACAATAAGTGCTCCTGTTAAAAACATCCTTCCCTTCCCTTCCCTTCCCTTCCCTTCCCTTCCCTTCCCTTCCCTTCCCTTCCCTTCCCTTCCCTTTATTTTTTTTTCAGAAGGATGGTTTCATTTGGAGAGCAATGTTCTGCTCTGTCACACTGTTTTATAACTAATGCCCACCATTTACATACAATTACTCTATGGAGGAGAGACTGACAAAACTGAGGTTAGTCTTGGTGATGGCATGACTACAGCATTTAAACTAGATTAACTACTCATATAAAATTTAAGTGTGGCAACTTAATGGGCAGAGAAGGAAACATAGGTTTTAATTATGGGGGCACTTAGGCAGAGATTTAATGAAAAGAAGCCACTTGATCTTACTGGTATTGTTTTTCCACTCAGTGAACTTAAGATAAAAGACTTATTATTTGTGGTTTCTTCTGGATTTCTTCTGGAGCTTATGTGCAGCTCCAGTGTTTTGGGGGACAGCAGCACATTGGGACTGGTCAGCAAAAACCTACAGAAAAGCAGAACTGAGCCATGGCTCTCACAGAGCAATGATGGGAGTTAGCACCTCAATAAAGAGTTGCAGGGGAGAATAGTTGTAATTCAGGTAAAAATGCAATATTCTGAGCAATCTAAGACATTAGTTTGGGGTTTGGGAGAGGGCTTTTGGGATTTTGGGTTTTTTTCTTTTGTTTGTTTGGGTTTTTTGTTTTGTTTGGGGGGGGTTGTTTGTTTGGGGTTTTTTCTATGTAGAAACCCTATGAAGCAGTTCAAATTTCTCTCTGCCTTTGAGGAGTGGTGATGTAGAAGGTGAGTTTTTTGTGGAGGACATAGAGGAATCAGAGTGGGGAGGCACAAGCTGTTTTCAGATGATGTGGTCACACACCAGCTAACACCACCTGTCCTCTGGAGCTGACGTATCAAGGAAAGACTTATTTCCCATTCTGCTCCTTTTGCAATTTTTAGTCCTCTATTCTTTAAAAAAAAAAAAAAAAAGCAAAAACATATCAATATTGAACTCCATACATACCTGATCCACCACCAACACTTAGAACATTGATTGTAGACTTCCCATTTCCAACACTGAAAAACATTATTTATACATTTTCAGAGAGCTGCCCAGTAGAGTGGGTTCCATGCAGGATGTGAGACACTGGAGATCCCATTAAGACTAAAATTTGCAGGGCAAAACCCAAATGTAATGTGTGTGCACACAGGCAAGCCTGTGGATGGGCAGGAGGGATAAGATTCAGAACCCTTCCCTTTGGATATTCACGATTTCCAATTATTTTTGCAGTTTGCAGAGGTGGCATTTTGCTTTTGTTATGAGGGAATACAAGCAGAAGCAAGTACATGATTTCTCCATGTTTGTGCTCTGAGGAACACAGAGCCCTCTGGGTCTGGACCAGCAGCTCAAAAATTATTGCAGAAGTTCTGCATTATGCAAAATGGGGAGGGAGAGGGGAGAGTGTAATGCTCCTAAAACCCCTGAGTGAGGCTTTTGCAGAGCTGTGAAACCCTGAGCACTGAGAAGAGGCTCCCCAGAGCCAGGATTTGATGCTGGCTGCCTGCTCCTGAGCCAGCCTGCAAAGTGAGGGGTCCAGCAAAGGACACACACTGGCAGGCAAAGCAGGAGCATCATCCAGCCGTCCTAGAGAAACCCTAAATATTACCTGAAAAAAGCTTACTTTTAAAAAGCTGCTTTCAATCAAGTTTGATATTAGAAGGCAGTATCTGTTCCTGCATTTCAGACTGACTCAGGGCCAGCTGTGTTTGTGTGCAGGGAAACAATGCAGCCTTATCTCCTCCTCGCGAGCCTCGGTCCCGGAGCGCCGCGTGTGCACATGGCATCTCCAGCCAAGCCCTATCAGAGGCCAACAGATGGGACAGGGAACAGCAATCTGCCTCTCACAGGCAGCCCCCGGGGCCAGCACCCCATGGCCCTGGCTGTCCTCAGGCCCAGGGTGGTCACCTGGGTGTTACCTGGCTATCACGGCCGGCAGCTGCCTCTCCATGAACTCTTGCATGCTCTGGTGCTCCGTGGACCTCTCCAAGAAGAGGCGGAATGACTGGAGGTATCTGTCGGGATCAGCGAGCAAACTCCTCATGGGTGATGCCATGCTGGGTGTCAGGAGGCGACAGGCTGCTCCCTGCTGCTCTTCTCTCAGGGCTAGAGGAGGAATGAAAAGTGCTGGAGGGGAAAACCCAGCCTGCAGCCGGACTTTGCACCACGTCCCCGGCCCTGCTGCTGCCTCGGAGTGCTACACAACCTGGCAATAGAAGCTGTAAATGGGTTCCAAACAGCAAAGGGTAATTTATCATCTTTAATCTGTGCAGAGCAAGTGCCAGCATTTTTTAACTCTGCTGACACAGGACTCTTATAACACAGTAAAAGGGTCTTTCTATGGTTCTTAAATACAAAACAAAAAAAAATCCTCTCTTTTGTGAAGTCGTGGAGAGACTCCAAAGCCTGGGTCTGGATTAGAAGAAAGTGCAACACTCATCTCCAGAGACACTGGCAGATGTCTCTATCTGTTTTTTTAATCTTTTGATGTTCTTAAAGGGAATGCTGATGGTGGAGTGAAAACAATAAAAACCTTATAAATGCACTTTATTTTTCTAGTTTTTTCTGAAGATAATGGTACAATTCCCATGTGTGAAGTAGCTAATTCACCAAAGCCACATGAGTTACTGGAATAGATGTGCTAAACCAGGCTTACAGGGAATCAGGAGTGGGGAAGGCAAAGCATGTTACCAGGGAAGTGTCAGTCTATACCTTAAAAAATACACAAAGATGTCTTTATCCTCTCTTAAACGGCAATTTTAAGTTCATCACATCTTGTCCTACCTGGCAAGGAGAAAGGGGAACCCCCTCCCTCCTCACAGGCCCCGTGTTTAAGGACATACTGCATCTCCTTGGTGTCTCTTACCATCCCCTCTGGCTTTCCTGCAGAGGTCACATCCCAGCCTCTTGTTATTCTTACAGCTCCCTTTGGACAGCCTCCAGCCATTGATGCTGAAGTGCAGAACAAAACCCTCCCAGCTGCTGGTTTTCCTGGCTCCCTTCACAGCCAGGATGGGTTCCCTGGCCCCACTGAGACCCTGCACCCACTGCCTTCACTCACCAGCATGACCACTGGAATTCAAATCATGGGCTTTTTCCAGACTGCTTCTCTCATCCCTTTGAAATATAAATCTGGCCTCTGTTGCACTCAGGTCCCTCCCAGCTGCACATCAAATGCACAGTCTCATCCCTCCTTCAAACTGTAAACAGAAACAAAAGCAACAGGCTCAGGTCCATATTTGCCATCACCTCCCTCTCTGGTAGTGAACTTCTGACAAATTTTCTAACTGTGCAACCAGTGTTCCACCCACCCAATACCTGTCTCATCAAGACGACATCTTCCTCACTTGTTTATGAGAATGTCATACATAGCGGTGCCATCTCCTCCTCCCCTGTACACCAGCAGAAAGATGGGCTTGGAACAATTTCTTCCTGATACAGCCACATTCCCATACCATCATCTTATTCTCTTTCTGCTTCATGGAGGACTATTTCCAGGGACTATTTCTAGGGACAGCCATCATGCTGAGCAGCTGCCCAGCTCCCTCTCCTGCCCCCTTTCCAATAACAACATCAGCTGCTTGGCTTTGCCCATTTTCCTTCCCTGCCTGTGACAAAGGTAACCTCCAAGTCGTGACTTGGTTTGGTTTTGCAGCCCATGGGCCAAATCTCCTCACATCCCAAAGGTTCCTGCAGGAAGGGGCAAGGTGAAGCTTGGTGACAATTCACCTCCTCCAGTGTGTGTTGCTACCAGAGCCGTAGGCAATGGCTGAGAATTCATTATCAGTTGGCAATGCCTGATAATTGCTCTCCTTGGGGCAGTCCCAAAGACCAGTGGTGACCTCTGGAGCAGGTCCCAGGGTTGATTTCCCACCCATACTGCCTCCAAGGCAGACTGGCTTTGGTACATTCCCTGCTCCCCACCTTCTCAGACAGCAAGGATACTTTCAAGTGAAAAAATAGCAAAACTGAGCATTTTAAAGAGCACTGATGAAAAACAAGCTGGTACAACACTGGTAACAAGCAGATGGGAGAGCTTTAAAAACTTTGTCTGCCTCTGACAACACCTCCTTGACCCAGATTAGCAGCACTCAAACACCCAACAACATCTGAATTAACCTGGGGAATCCAAGTGGGAATTTTTTCAGAGACAGCAAGGAAGGAAACTCCTGGATGTACCTTGGATGAGAAATACTCACTGCTAACCCATCCTGAAAACACAGTGGTGTACTCTCTATTTACCCATTCCTTTGCTATGCCTGACTCCTTGCTTTTTATTTTAAGTACATAAGGAGGCTTTGCTGTTTGCCACTAATATATTTTTACTACCTTCAATATTGAAAAAAACATTTTGCAGTTTATAAGAGATTTAGATAATCGACTCTTTTTCCTGTGCCTCCCTCTACTTCCCCTGATTTAATTTGCCAACATCCCCTGCTCAGCAGTCTCTAATGAGCAGCTGAGATTCATTTTATGTTGGGTGACGTTCAAGGAATTTGTCTCATTTCTTTCATTACACTTTTTGCTGTTGGAATTTTCCCCATTTATTTCATTCTTTGTTTCTTGCTGTTTGAATTGCGGCCAGTTCACTTTAAAAATGAGTAAAGAGAAAGAAGGACAGGATTGTTTTCTGAATTAGGCCGACAGAAACTTGTAACACCGTTCCCTCAGGCATGTTCCCTTCGGTGATAATCGAAACTTTACCGGGGCTCGCTAAAAAGATTGCGGAGTTTGGAAAGCGGACGCTTTATGCTGCGGTTACTCGATCCCACCCTGCTTTGAGCCAGCAGAGTGAAACCCGCTTTAAACTCCCCGTGAAAGCCTTTGGAGGCTCCCCGAGCAGGCAGCAGCAGAAGGAGCGTGGCCAGAGCCGCGGCCCGTCCGCAGCAGCTCGGCGTCAGCCCCGCAGGCCTGCGGCTGCCCCGGCCGGAGCGGGATCGCTCCCGGGGGATTGCTCCAGCCAGCCGCACTCACCTGCCTCTGTGCCCCGCAGGGATGTGGGAGCGACTCTGCTGAGCTCCTGGGCTGTGCTCCCAGCCGGCCAGCTCCCAGCCCAGCCGCCTTTCTGTGCCTCCACCTCCGCAGCCGGCCCAGCCCGGCCGCGTCACCGAGAGGCCTCGGTGGCTGAGGAAGGAGCGGAGCTGGGAGCTCACATGGCAGCAGCTGCCGGCACAGGCACAGGGACAGCTCCGAGCCTGACACATCCACGTCCACCCTCGGTCCCCACACCCGGCACGGCCACCCTGTCCTGGGAACACGCACACACGGAGCTCTGACCCTGGGTTAGTCACAGTAGGGGTGAAAAAATGAAGCCCTGCTAGTGGAATATAGAAATACATATTTAATATATAGAGTATAGAAGATATAAAATATGTATTATCTAATATATATAAAGATATATTAATATAATATATATATTAATATAGAAAACGCAGCTCCTGACAAATTGGAAATAATTGTCTCTGTGTGTGGCATGTGGCGATGGGCAGCATTATTTGCTGTTTGCCTATAGAACCCTTCCATTATAGATAACTTTGCTTTTTCAGCTGGTTTTCTTGCCAGCAGATACTCTTCTTATCCCTCACTTTCCAGAGCTTAAGCAATGAGAAGCATTTCCCAAGTTGTGTGCACCCTCTGCAGCCCTGTTAGGAGCAGTTTTATCTCAAGGAACATAGGTATGGATAAAACCATTGACCCGTGTCTGCTATCACATTGTGATTTGGTGTTCAGGACACCACACATTTTCTCTCTGTGTGCCTTAAATTATTCTTTGTTTCTCCATTTTTAGCAAGAGGGATTTTTTTTAAGTTAAATGAAGAAGTTTTCCCTCTGGAGTTAGAGAAATGAACTGTTCAAGGAGAAATGAGCTGTTCACATGACAAAAGTCCTATAAAATAATACCAGTAATATTAATAACGATGCTTTCAAAGACACACTTACAGGGAGAATGGCTGCAGCTTGACATTTAGCCGAGAGTTTACTCAAATGAAGATTTCATATCAACAGTTAAAATTGTTCAGCCAGAACGACGACTGTGTGTGAAGGCAACACCCACTGCAATTTTTATTCTCTCTGTTCACAGCACCATTTCCTCACCAGTTTGAGGGAATGAGATACAAAGCCCTTTTGCCAAGGATCTCACCAGGAGCAGCAATGTCACAGTGTTTAGGACTTACCATATTATATGATTCAAAGAGTGATGCCAAATCCACACAGGCACAATGGGGAGACCAGCAACAATTTCGCCCTTTCAAATCAGCAATCATGAATTGCTTACCCATGGCAGGGAGCTTAGAACTAGGGGGTCTCTCAGGTCCCTTTGAACCCAAAACATTCTGAGGTTCTCTAACTCTTTGGCTTTATTTTCAAGAAGTGTTTTGAGGAAAATGAAACCATAAGTACCCTGTCAGGTACAAATCAAGCCAGCCTTCATTGGATTGCAGTGTCCCAACAAATGTCCCTTCTGCAGCCACAGCTCCCACCAGGGAACCCTGTCCTGCCTCTGTATTGGTGATAAGCACTGCTGTTCAAACATAGCTGAGCAGCAAGATCAGTGGTGGTTGGTTTTCTCTGCAGTTCTAGAAATCTGTATTAACTGCTATCACCAAAGCTGTGCAAGCTGGTCTGAGGAAAATAAACTCAGTGCATCTGGTCCACACTTTTTTCCCTCTGTAGAACATTAAATATGGGTTTTCCAAGTGCCAGTTGCTATTTAATATGAAAGCCTAAGTTTAAAGAGGCAAAAATAAAGATTATATGCATCTGGTGCTTTTAAGTGTGTTATGAAAATAAAAGATGCTGCTGTTAATTTGCTTCTTTAGTTTCCCCCGGGGACACATTTGGTGAGATCTTAGTGAAATCTCAGCCATTTCAGCGTGATGTGTGCTCAGTGCTGCCCTGCTGCAGGGACACTGGGGATTTGGGGATGCTGCAGCAGTGCCTAGCCCTGTGCCCAGGGCAGGGCCATGCCGAGCCAGAGGCTGTGAACCAGCAGGGACAAGGGCCAGGATGGAGCCCAGTCGCTCTGTAGAGTGACATCCTGCAGAGGAGATGGCTACACACTGGCAGATCTGTGGGTTTGTTCATTAAGGTGGTTATACACTATTTGACATCTTAGAACCATCACAGAATCAAAGAATAGTTATGTTAGAAGGGACCATAGAGATCATTTCATTCCAAACTCTGCCATGGGCAGGGACACTTTCCATTACACCAAGCTGCTCCAAGCCCCATCCAACCCAGCCTTGAGCCCTTCCAGGGATGGGGCAGCCACAAGTTCTTAATATTTATTAATGAAAAATCACCCTCCTGTCCCATTCTACCATGTGTCCTCCTACATACAGCACTGTGCTAGATAGCAAGAGGCTGAGTTATTGAAAGGAAATCCCACAAGCCCTGAGGGCATTAATATTTGGGAAATAATCACTTACCTATTAAACATTTCTCTGTCATGACAGCTCAAGGGACAATTCACAGCTCTGTAGGTACCTGGCCAACTGTAGAATAATACTAAAATACAAAGTTGTAAGACAAGTCCCCCTGGGAACCTGGCAAGGACACAAGTTGTTGTCACTGGTCCCTTAGGTGAGTCAAGAGCTGGGAACAGCCAACATCTGCAGATTATTTCCTTCTCTGGAGTATGTCTGTGTGGCTTTGGACTGAAAATTTATACTCTGGGAAGAAAGAGAAAGGAGTTAAAGGTCATGGTCTTGGTTCAAATGAATCACTGAAATATTTTCCTCCATGTATGCTTCACTGGGAGACAGCCCTCAGGTGGAGGAAAGGGGGAGAGCATCATGCCCTACTCCAGGCTCCCAGGATGCCACCAGCCATGCCCAGAAGCAGCACAGGATTTCCTCTAGGAAATCTGTGATGATCCACAAGCTCCAACAGCCTCATCAGACCCATGGCAGAAGTGGAAATAGCAGAAAAAACTATCCACTGATGATTTAGAAGAGCCGTGGTAACTGGTTGTTGCCTTCAGAGATGAAAAGTCCCATCTAAGTTAGTAAAAACCAGGGTGTGAGCAGGGTATTGGGGTCTGGTGCTGCCTACATGTGAAGACAGGAGATGAAAGCTGTGCAATGTTGATTTTATCTCAGAAGGGATGGGAGGGCTGGAATAGACCATCCCTCATGAATGGCTGCAGTGACCCTGCCCTGGGGGAAGATCCATCCCTTTGGAGCAGAGGCTGGAGTCACAGCTGAGAAAAGCTGAGCTCAGGAGATGGATCCGTGTGTAATCCTGCCTTAATAACACAGGACTACAGAGTATGTGGGTCAGATCCAGGAAACTGGAAAGAAGCAGAAGAAGCAGGAAAGGCTGCACAGGAACTTTCTAATTTCTACCCCATAACCAGATTTCAAAGCATTTGTAGATGGACCAAATATCTGAGCCCAAAGATCCAGGAGTTTATTTGGCTTACCTTTGGATCTGATGTAATCAGACACGGGCAGCCTGATAAAAGCAGAAGCGAGACGTTGCTTAATGTCTGAAGAATTATTTCTGCTGTCTCCTAATAAAGCACGCTGATGTAAGCTGGGGATGATAACAAGAGCTCTGCGCTGGGCTAGCAAAAATCTCATTTTTCAGGACAACTGAACTGTCAGTGCCAAAGAACAGACAGGTTATTGCTCATGCTCCTCCAAGGTTACTTTTATTAAAATGGAAATTTCCAAAGCTTTGCATGCACACATACGTGGCCAGGGGTGCAGACTTCCCTGTGAGGGGCAGGGGGGCCTTCCCACAGCCACCCCTCCGTGCTGCAGCTCCTTGGAGCAGCCCTTACAAATGGGGGTGCCCTGGGGGAAGCAGCACAGCTGTCTCTGCCCCAGCTGTGTCTCAACAGCCCCATCCTCACCGCAGCTTTGGGGTGGGCTTGGCACCTACAGCAGCCTGGGGTGGGTGCAGTGCTCTCCCCCACAGCTGCACCCCATGAATTTCCCGTGTGGTCTGAGTGAGGATTTACTGTCCCTCCTCAAACCCAACACAGGCACCATCACCTTAAAACTGGGCCTTTCACATTTGGCACTGACACAGCTCTTCATATCAGAGGGGAAGAGAAGAGAAGAGAAGAGAAGAGAAGAGAAGAGAAGAGAAGAGAAGAGAAGAGAAGAGAAGAGAAGAGAAGAGAAGAGAAGAGAAGAGAAGAGAAGAGAAGAGATTTAATTTGGAAGGACCCTACAATGATGATCTAATCCAATTGCCTGACCACTTCCAGGCTGGCTGTAAGTTAAAGCATCTTTTTGAGGACATCATCCAAATGCTTTTTAAACAGATGATAACAAAAGAAAAATAGGGGGGAAAGAGCAAAAAATTAATACCTAGCTGTATTTCATTTTCTGTTGTAATAATACACTGAGAAACTACAGCAGGCAAAACCTGAACTTGGCTGCTGAGAAATGATTTGTCCAACAAATGTGTCTTTTTATCTTCCCCAGTACATCTGAGGAACAGATTAAATTTTTACAAACATGTGCCTTAGTTAAAATAATTTTGCTTTTCCCGTTCCTGAAGTTAATTGAACCAAAAATTGTTTGTGAAATATCTCATTATGGAGCACTCCAAATTTCTGGCTTGCAATTAGTGATACAAATCAGTGCTCTATTCCCAGACTGAGAAAAACCCAAAATATTAGAGCATTTCAATTAGCAATTTGAAACTGAAATTCTTAATTGAATTGATCCCAGAAAGAAATTCAATTTGAAAAAGTAAAAGAACATTTGTAAGGGGATTTCATTACTGTGCCTGGTTTTGGAGATGGTCAAGGATGGCCACACCTTCACCAGCAGGGGCTCCACACCAGAAGGAGCTGGTAGAAGCAGACACTGCCAGAAATCATCCAGAGTGTGCAGCTCTTGTCCTGAGAAGCCACAAGCAGCCAAGACACAAAACCACAGCTTCTTGCTAGCCCTAAGTGCAGCTCATTTTTTCCTGGGGACTGCAATCTCTGCCAAAAAGTTTTTTTCTGTGCTGGAGAAGCACGAAGGACTCTGAAAAGACCTGGCTCAGGCTATTGATATTATGGGAAAGCACAGTTATGCCAGGGAAGAGGAGATGGCTTTTCTTGTGTGCCACTTTTGCTGCTGATTCAGGTTTTCTACAC